TTTTTAGGGATATAACGCCTCATTAGCGTTCTCAAGAGTGGATGTAATAATATGTAAATAAAACAAAATTAACTTGAGAGAGGAAAAAAAGAAAAATGAAGAAAATAAAGAAAACTAAAATCAAGATATAAATAAATAAATCTAGAAAAAAGTGGAAAATCAAGAAAGTAAAATGTAGAGGATTTAATTAGAGATATGAGGAATATAGAATTGAATCCACTATCCAATTTTACTTATAGATTATGTACTATTCTCTTTTTATCACATTTTACTTTAGATTTATTAAGTATAGACTATCAAACCACCTAAAGCATAACCTATCAAATTGTCATCTAAGTAAAATTAATATTCATGAAAAGAATAACAACTAGATAGTAATTCTAGAATTGATAAGCATAACCTATGAAACTACTCAAGATAAGCATAGATTATCAAATTCTTCTTCTACCAATTAGTTCTCTTATTGATTATCCTAAGCATAATCAATTTAAGCACAAGAGAATAATTCACAAATTATAAAAGAATATAAACTATTTTATACAATTCTAGAATTCCTATAAGAATTAATTCCACATATTAGAAAATAAAAATAAAGGAAATAAAATCTATACTAGAGAGACTAAAAGGAAGAGAATGAAATAAAAACTAATTCCCAAGAGCAATCTAGCCACTTGGAGAATAAAAGGAAAAAATGAATAAAAACAAATTATAAAGAGGGTTCTAGCCTCTTTAAAATAATGCAAGAAAATAAAATCTAAACTATGTAAAAATAAAACTATATTTAAAAAGACATGAAAGTAAATCTACTCTACAATGCATCAAAATAAATCTAAAACAAGAGGGTTCTAGCCCCTTAAATATCTAAAACAAGAGAAGAATATATTACAAAAAAACAAAAGATAAAAGAGAAAAATTATATTGTAAGAAGGTTCTAGCCTCTTGAAAGTAAACATTCATCTCCATATTTATCTTTATCATCAAACAAAGAAAACAAAATATGAAGAGGTGAAAAAATTATCTTATTAATTGCGATAAAGTTATAATTTTGGATGGTGTTCTCAATTAAGAGTAACCCTCCTCTTCAAATAGAGTTATTATAAAAAAATTTAAATTTAAATTCTTACTCTCTACCCTTATTTATAGCCTACAGTAAGCAACAAGAACCATTAAATTTTACTTGGGCTCTAAGGATTAATCTTAGCCATAAAACAAGTTTGTTATGAACTAATCGGTTGATCAACCGATTGGCCAATCGGTTGACCAACTGATTAGAATTCTAAAATTCTAAAATATAGTTAGCTCCATCTCGTCGAGATGAGTGATTTTTATATGTTAAATTTTACCTTTCGGATTGAGTGATATCATCGTTTTCTTTATGGCTAATCATCTTGAACATAATTTTGATTTGATTTCTTTTTTATATTGAATCCTTTTTTCTTCGGCTTCTATAGATTGCTTGACTTGATCATGAGCATTGGTAAAAGGTTAAATAATAAGAAAATTGAGTTCTTTTTGAGCTTTTATTCATTAATTCTTCATTAACCTGCAAATTAAGATAAAACATATTTATTAGTGACATTTTTATTTAAACAAAATAGATAACGAGGATATAAAAATGTAATAAAAATGTGATTATCAAATACCCCCACACTTAAATTTTTGATAGTCCTCTAGCAAAGAGAGAAATTAAAAGGGAAAGAAAGAAAAATACTAACTCACTTTCATAGGAATTATGGTTGTATTTAGCGCGTACAACAAGTCTTTAAACCCCTAGGTTACCATAGAGTACGAGTTATGGTCTCGTGAGGGTTTGCAGTGAATATACCCATAAATTTCGATTTAACTTACCAATTTAAAAAAGTTAGTAAATAATTAAATTACTTGATACCTTTAAACAATCTAATTATAGCTAGTTTTTATTCAAGAAAACGTTTTTATGTATAACTCCAAAGTAAATTTCTTAAAAAGTATTTTAATTATAGTTATACTAAACTAAGTCTAACTTAGAAATTTAATTGAAAGTTTTGAGAGGAGCATGCTAACTTTCTGTTTCAAATAATATTTTAAGTTTCTTGATCAAAATATTTTTCAAGAGGATATATAGATATAATTATATGTATATATAAACACTATATATATATATATATATAATAGCAGTACAACCAATTTTTACGTGGTTCGGCAAATTGCCTACGTCCACGGGACAAGGAGGGGGGAGATCTACTAATAGAGGGAGAGAATACAACTAGGGTTTACAATCACTCACAATCTAAACCCTCAAACAAACTCTCTCAAATCTCTCACAAAATACCTCTCAAAGAGATCACAAAACCAAAAGAAGAGACTACACAAAGGAAATCTTCATCTGCTGAAAAATATCTACAGCCGAAAATTCCTGCACTTTCTCTCTCCTGCAGCCGCTGTTCACTTGCAGCCGCCAAAATCTCCACGCACTGCTCCTTTGCTTTTTCTGCCGCAGCCACGAATTTCCCCCTACCTGCTCACCTAAAAACCTAAGGAGAAATCACAAATATATATATATGAGAATACTGTGGGTGCGCTGGCAGCTCATGAGATTTGTGCGCTGCAGGGGGTTAATTGAAAAAATGCTCCGTGAGATCAAATCAGATCCAAGAAGATCTCGTGACCAAAAAACAAAAAACAAATCTCGTGAGCTACCCCTCTCCCCCCTTCAATCCCTCTCCTTCGAGCCCCAAACCACGATCGACAAAATCGAGCCCCAAACCACGATCGACAAAATCCCATCCGCTATTAACCCCAACCACGATTCGAAACCCCATCCCCAAATCCTCCGTCACGCCCTCTCCTTCGACCACGAAACCGCCGTGAAACCGCCGTCGGGCGTGCGCCCTCCTTCGACCGTCGTGAGATCGTCCCACAGACTCCCCCCTTCCCACGAATCGAGCCCCAAAGTACTGCAACACGATCCCGACCTCTGTCCGACTCCCTCCCTCCGGCGCGAGCCTAAATCCTCCGGCGCGAGCACCGACCTCTCTCCGCCCCCTTTCCTCAATTCTCTTCAGCGATTCCTAAGGTCAGTGAAAGTCACTGTTTTGGGTTAATACAACTGTTTATATTTGGAATTAGCGTAAGATTTGGAGTTAGCGTTTATTATTGGAGTATGACTGTAAGTTGATCTCTCGGTATTTTTTAAAAAAATAAGAGTTCTGTTCCCATAGTAGATTGTGAAGTAAGAAACTCACCTTCAATTGTATAAAGTGCATGAATAAAGTTACAATCTCTCCGCTATTTTGCTGATGCATGAAAGAAAGTAGAATTCAAATTGTAGTTTTTAATCTAGTTGATTCTAGATTTTTGATGAGTGAATATAGCTTCATTCTTGAGCAGAGTCACAAGACTTTGGAGATCTTTACTTTCCTAAAGCTTTAGGAAGTTATCAGTGGGGGGTTGCTGGAGCAAGGATTGAGTATCAAATAATTTTTTTTGTCAGCTTGAACTCTAGTGTGAATCCCACCAAAATATTGATGATTAAAAGCCTTAGGGAACTCTTGACATTTTTCAGCTTTTGAAAGACTTGAAACAAGGGAGAGCCGGTAATGGGTGAGGACCATCCTTGATGTGTCACTGAAAGAAACATATGATGATCAAACCAATAATTGAAAAACTTGAAAGGTGGCATAAGCTGATGAGGATGTTAAAAGAAAACCACTGCTACTAGACTGTGATCACAACAATATCTGGTGTAATTGTTCTTGCAAAGTGCCCTAAGCTTGCCTAAGCTTGCTTTTGTATATGAGTGTGTTTTTATTATTTTGCCAATTATTATTTTTCAATTGCTATGAATATGCAAACTTTTGTATCTGTAGCCGTGGATCATGGAGTCATCTTCAAGATCTCGTCATGGACTGTTGTGCCATTGTGGAATGAGGGCTATACTCTCCAGATCTGGAACTAAGACGAACCTCGGTCGATTGTTTTTGGGATGCGCTAATTGGAAAGTGAGTAATTGTGGATTCTTCAAATGGGTATCTGATGAAGAGGAGTTTCAAGGTTCAAAGGCAGAGCAGTCAAGCGTGATGCCGCAAGTTTCAAGAGCCGTGTCAAGTGGAGAAGTGCGGGAAAAGAGAAAGATTGAGATTGATATGTTGGATTTGTTGAAGCTTGGTATATTTGTTCTTTTATTTGGTATTTTTTTCTAGGATTTGTATTTGGTATTTCTATTGGATTTGTGCTAAGTAGGGTGTAAGAATGTATTATTGGATTTGTTGAAGTGTATGTTCTCCATGTATTGCATAGTTAAGTTTCCAATGAGGAAAAAACAGACTAATGTACATGTAGCCTAAAGTATTGGATTTGTGCTAATTTTTTTACTTAGTCTAAAGTAAGTCATGATCCGCAGTACAGTGTTTCAATCATGTAGCCTAAAGTATTGTGTTTGCATGTACATGTAGCCATCGTTTATGTTAAGCTTAAATGAATGTACATGAATTAACTGCTAGCATATCCGCAGTACAGTGTTTCAATTATGTGCAAATTTTCTGAGCATTACTTCCGAAAGTGTTTTATGTGGAGTTCGCGCTCGACGCTGACTTATTGCATATGGTATATTAGAACTTTTAGATGAGATATTTCTACGAGGGTTTGCAGAAGTCGCAAGAGTTTGCTAATTTAACCTGTGTTGTGAGTCTAGGATGATTTCTTAAGCAAGTGAGCACCAAAGTTTGAGACATGTATAGTAAGCTTTTAGGCTTTGCGTAGAAATAACTGATGAATCATCTTCCTTTCAACTATTATAAAAGTTCATAGATCTTCACATGTGACACCGGCAAAATAAACCTGAAAGTCTTAACTCTGAAACCAAGTTGAGAACATAAATAATATTCATGTACTAACAGCAAAATGAAAACACAAAATGTGAAACCAAAATTAGTCTTAACACATCAGCTATAATACACAATCAGTCTTAACACATGCTTCCATTGTTTCACTTTTTGGTCTTTGATGATGCAGCTACTCGATTACATTAAGTCAGACATTTTTATTTTTGCAACCGTACGAAAGAAGAGCCCATCTGCCGAATATTTCTGCATCCAAACTAGATGGCTCACAGCATTACTTGGTCCCATGTGTACTGCCACCTCATCTGCCATATTATGAAACAAAACAATTCTGGTAAACTCAGTGAACTCAGTGACAAAAAAATTCAAATTACCATTTTACTAAAATATTAGCATTGACAGCATATTTGTGACACAATACACTTTAAAAATCAAAAGTCAAAGTTTTTATTTGATGCAGTGATGCTTGTTGTCAGTATTTATTTCTCATGTAAATGTATGAGTATTTTTGCTGCCTTTATTTATGCAAGGTGATTGGGTGAGAGTATGAGTGACCATGCACAAAAATGCACTGAATAGAAACGAAAATGGTACCTTTGCAAGTTAACTTTACAGCTAGTTCTATAATGCCCGAGTTCACCACATCTGCTACATATGCATTTCTTCCTTTCTTTCTTTTCTTGTGCCTATTCTATACCTGACTGGATTCTAGTAGCATTGCGTGGACGACCTTTAGTCCTTGCAGGTCTATCAGGATCACGAACTGTTATCTGAGGAATGTTCTCTATTGTATGTGAAATGGGTGCGGAAGGTTGAGGAATATCCATCAATTGATCTTGAGTTTCTCCAACTTCTTCTTCAAGTGATTCCATGAACTTTGTTAGCACATCATCAAGTTGTTGCAGCGTCTCTTCTGAATCAAATGCAAGCTCGAGCACATTATTGAATTTTGCTCTTAAAGCCCAAGATTTTAATAAATTAATCTTCTCTTCACAGCTGGTGATGTTTCTTCCAAATACTGGCGGAATGTCGGTGAAGCCTTGCTATTCAAAGTTCAAGATCCAAGTTCAAGCTTCATCCGCGAGATTACCAAGTCAAGCTTATTGAAGATCAAGATCATTGCTTGGGTAATTTAGTTTAGGAATTTATATTATGTGTGTTAGTACTTTAAGCTCAATCATATACACACATACACGTTTTGGTTTTTGTATATATATAGTTATATATATACATATATGTTTTGGTTTGATAGTTTTCAAGTTTTACTATGAACAATTGAATATAATTAGAAAACATATTTTTTGTTTCATACTCATATGCATATATATGATTTCATCAATATCAATTTTAGTTAGTTAAATAAAATCATGTTTTAGTGCATTATATGTGTATTTTGATAAAATACTACATTCATTGTTTATAGACTTCATAACAATAGTTTACATCTTTCTTCAAGTCTATAAAATCATTTTGTAAAGTTTCAAAAGTTGGTTTAGCCAAAATGTCAAAATTCACATGTTTACATTTTCGTGTTTTGGACTATTTTGCAAAATGATGATATTTTTCATTTGGGAAGTCCTTTTTCGAAACCAGTCACTGTAGCATGTTTATTATCATGTCTACAATCATTCCCCAAAGTTTTACATTTTTTAGAATTTATTTGATATTTTTAAACAGTATTTTAAAATCAGCAAAACAGTTTTTGAATATGTCAGTTTTCGGTCGACCGAACCGGTCGACCGAACCTGAGTTCTCGTGAGCCATTCTTCGTGTTTTTGCTCTCTGTCGGTCGACCGACGAAATTTCCGGTCGACCGACAATAGATCCGTTGCACTCCAACGGCTATTTTCTGAGCTGATTTTTCTGGGGCTTTTTGGACTTTTGTTTGGGGTTTTGGCTGAGTTTTGGAGTGGGTATAAATACCCCATTGCTGTCATCTTTCAAGTTGTTAAGAGAATGGTTTAAAAGTTTTTAACAAGGGTTTAAACTTGTTTAGTGTTTGTTTAAGTTTGTTTTAAGAAGCTTTTAAGCATTTGAGTGTTTCGGTTTTGTGATTCAATTCTACAAGAGCTTGAGGAGATCATCTATTGGTGTTTGGGCATTCAACTATTCTCCCTCCAACTCTTGATATATTGAGAAGTTTTCTAAACTCTATTTCTAGCTATTTTATATATTTGATTATCATTGTTATTTAGCTAGAACTACATTGAGTTTAGTTTTGTTTTATATCTCTTTGTTCACACACAACCTATTGAGCTTATTGTATTTACATTCATAGTATAATTTAGGGTTGTGGGTTGGTGACATTGAGAGTGAGCTTAATTGAGTTCTCACCTTGTTAGAGAGAACAATCATTTGTTAATTTGTGCTTATCATGAGAAAATCACTTGTAATACACTTGTACACCGAGAGAAGTGTGTGGTGAGAGACGGGGTCGAATCCAAGAGGAGTGGCGTCGGTTGACGTGCCTAGGGAGAGGTTATAACCGAGCACTTGAGGGAGACACGGCTAGGTCCAACACTTAGTGGGTGTAGAGTGTGATTGCAAGAGTGTGAGTTGTAGAGTTTTCGGTTAGCTAGAAAACCGAGTGTGTAGAAGAAGTTCCGGCTTCCAAACCGGATTGTGTTAGTGGATTTCTCCCCGGGAGTGGGGAGCGGAGACGTAGGACGGAAGGTCCGAACTCCGTGATCATATTGCTTGTTTGAGTGTGCTTTGGCGTTCATTCATATTTATGTTCATATCTTATATCGCCATTGTCATTAGCTCATTATCTCTTTCATCCACTATCTTGTTTAGATTATTTACCCTTGTGTTAGTTTATATATCATTACATATATCTATTGTATATTTTCTTGGTAGGATATATTATCTTGTGTTAGTTTATATATCCTTGCATATATATTTCATCATATAGGATATATCTTATTGTGTACATTGCTTATCCTAGCTTACAAATATTGTTGTATTTCATACTTGCTAGGATAACGTATTAATTAGTTTTTAATTGGCATTTAAATCGGATTAGATTAGCATAAGACCCTAATCACCCCCCTCTTGGGTCTAACATCATCAAGTTGTTGCAGCTTCTCTTCTGAATCAAATGCAAGCTCAAGCACATTATTGAATTTTGCTCTTAAAGCCCAAGATTTCAATAAATTAATCTTCCCTTCACAGCTGGTGATGTTTCTTCCAAATACGATGTTGCCAACCCCAATGTTACGATGCCTTGCATGTATGGTCCAACGGTGTAGGATGTAGTGGTCGGGTAATGAATCCATCTGCCTAGCCATCATTAGCGATAATATATGTCTACATAGCACACCATTAGTTTCAAACAAAGCACAAGTGCAACGGAACTCCATCTGACTGGACTGTTCATAAGTAACCACCTCCCATTTTCCTCTATCTGTAAACTTACAAACCTTGTATTCAACAATGTCCCCATCTTTTCTCAATTCTTCACAGAACTCTGTACTAAATCCTTTGAATTCAGTATGGAACACATCAAACATATTGCGTGTATACATTTCTCCAGCTTGGACCTCAATTGGATGTCCAAGGAGTATGACCGGCTTTGTGTTCAGACTCTTAAAATCTTCATGGGCTTCACTTAAGCGACGATGAGTTACTGCTTTTTCATATTATGTCACAAACTCGTGTAACTGAGTCTGTGAGTTAACATACCCATCAAAAAATGCATTAATACTTTCACTCCTTTGGCTTGATCTCATTCCAGAAAAAAAAGTGTCCTTCAGATAACACGGCACCCAGTGTTCTTTGCATTTGTAAACTGTTTGCAACCATCCCTCCCCTTCTTCATTTATATCAAACTTCTCTTTCATCTCAACCCAATATCCTTCAGCCTGTTCAATTGAAGAACTATTGCACCACAAGCCCCAATACATTTGAAACTGTTCACCATAACGAGATACCAAAGTAGGCAAATGATCAATAATATGCTTTTGCATGTGCCAATAGCAATAACGATGTGTTGTCGTTGGAAACACTGAGTGAATAGCATTACACATTGCTCTATCCTGATCTGTTATAATAGCACCTGGTTCAATGCCGTGCATGCATTTCAGTCATTCTTCAAATAACCAAACAAAGGTATCTTTTTGTTCATCGGCTAATAATGCACAACCAAGTAAAGTGGACTGCCTATGGTGATTTACACCAGTAAATGGAGCAAATGGAAGACCGAACTTATTAGTTCTGTATGTCACATTAAACACAATAACATCACTGAATTGCAAATAAGATGCTCTTGATCTTCCGTCGGCCCAGAATACACTCCTCATTTGTCCACTGCTGTCTACTTCTATTACAAAATAAAATTCTGGATCATTCGCTGTCATACTCTGAAAATGTCGAATGATAGATATGCATTCATGACCAATATTGTTGACTCTTTGGGTTCTGATATGATCAATGCACTGTTGTGATGTTACAAATTCATCGTCTCTTCCATTGGTTGCATTGATAACGCGAGAAATAGTGGAAGGAGGCATACCTTCTTCTCGCAGACTATCAATAAGTTTTTTACATCTTTGGGTTTTATGAAATTGTTGATGTGATCTGTGCATTTTTGCTTTGTCTGGACTACTCAACACATGATTTGTATGTTCTTCAACAAACCCCGTGACCTCCCACGATTTGTCCTCCAATAATTTAACTCGCATCATTGCCTTACATCCCACTCGGGTCTCTCGCCGAAGAGGGATCTCTATCTTGCCACTATTAGGTTTATAGCCCTCCTTATCACAAACAAACTTTCTGTCTACCACTTCTCTAGTCTTGCGAGAGTAATTCACACTGCTCTTCCTTATTCCAAAACCCATCAACAATGCATAAGAGTTATAATAGTTATAAGCTTCTTCATGACTATTAAACTTCATGCCTAGTAGTGGTTTAGGAGCATTCGCATCATTGGCCGCAGTTTCACTTCCAATAACACTTGATTCTCCCATTCCGAACTCTACACTATTTGAATTTGTTTCCTCCATTCCAAACTCCTAAAGAAGAAAAAAACAATAATAATGACCACGTCAATTATTTGGGAACAAAAAAAAAACATACACAAAAAAAAGATACATAACGAAAGTTGAAAACAACAAACCGCTTAAATACACAAGCTATAGTGTCCCTGGTTGTCAATACACTACCAAATAATGGGTCTACGGGGACGGTTTATAACCGTCCCGCTAGACAATAAAACCGTCCTCATAGACCTAAGGGAACGGTTACTCATCCGATACCTTTGCCACCGTAGTGCTTGGTCTAAGGGGACGGTTCATGATCCAAGTAGCGCGGTTCTTGAACTGTTCCCGATTATAACATTTGGGGACGGTTTACCTATGGGGACGGTTCATATTTTTGCAGATGCTGACGGTTATTCAGTAATGGGAACGGTTATAATTTTAAGCTACCGTGACGCTTACATACCAAGGGGGACGGTTTCGAGCTTGACCTAAGAGGACGGTTATATTGTCTATGGGAACGGTTTTGTTTGTGATCTATTAGGACGGTTTTTATACCAAAGAAGACGGTTAGCTATGGGGACGGTTTTTAGCAATGGAGACGGTTTTCAGATGTAAAGATATGGGAACGAGTATATATAGCAAAGGGGACGGTTTTCTATTTTGACCGTGCAAAAACAAATCATCCAGATATATCACACATTTTTTTGACCTGCTGTTTCAAAATTAAAAAAAGAAAAAACAAAATAAAAACTCTATGATTTATACTTGCTCATGTCACAAACAAAGATATGAAACTCTAAATTTTGCAAGCAAATTACCAACCAAACATAAGGGACAATTCATTGGTTCATTACAATGACTTTAGTACAAGTTTTTTCTTTTGTCCAAAGTACATGACTAAAATTCCTCTTTCATTAAAACAAAAAATGTCTTCTGTTTAAAGGTCTGCATTGCTATACATAATTTATAAATTGTCTCGATAGAGCTAATCTCGTTGTAAGTGATCAAAAGCACGCGTGGAATATCCTGTTTCAGCCACCATCAATTTTCCTGCATAAATTTAGATAAAAAGATAAAAATGAGATTATATTCATTGCAAGATTCAATCACTTAAATATATGCTTTACAATTTTAAGTAAGCAGCTCTTAGTAGAAGTTTAAAGAACTGATGAAATGTTGCAGGTATGTAAGGAAACAAATAAATATTAAAATTATGGGTAAATTGATGGCATTATGACAAGGTTATCGTTATTATCGTTGCTATCGTTATTTTGAAAATGCAAAGAATATTGAAATTTACTCAGTGCAAGATGTGGGCTGAATGTAATCGACGACATGGTGACGATTACCTGAATGAAGACTTGGTCTGGGGTATATTTTTCAGTATGCATCTACAATACAGAATGCATGCATATAATAAACATCTTAGAGTTGTCTATTTCAGAAATTTCTTGATGGAAGATGCCAGTAGAAAAAAGGGGACGCTCCTCTGTTGTGCGAAATTTCTTGATGTGGAAATTACCAGTTAAAAAAGAGGGGGGACACTGATCCAGCAGTAGAAACAAAAGCATAAGCATATATAATATGCAGAAGATCCACGCATTCAGCCCACGTCTATTAATGTTTGTTTGTTTGACAATTATGACTTGGCTTAAACTAACCAATTATGGCAAACAAATGAATTGTAGCTTGACCTGTGCCATCTCTTTTGTTATGTATTGCCTGCTCTTGCATTGCTTTAATCATCTCCTTCATTTGTTTTTCTTATTTGTCAAGTTATGTGAACCATAGATATGTGAGCATTCTCGTCAATTGGCTTCAAGTAATCCTCGACAATGGCTTCCTGTAGATAAAAAAAATATTACAATAGGGTGGGATTTTTATCAGCAATGGAGATTTTTTAGAAGATTTCAAACATGCATTTTTCATAAGCATCTCAGAAAAGCAAAAAAAATGAAAATAAAAATAAAAAAGGCCTTATAGAAGTATGTAACGACCAAGATGTATATCGGACTGAAGAATGTCTAGGAAGTCATATTACTGACTTATCAACAGTATCACAACATCAACAAAGAGAACCTGGAAAGGACAGCATAGATATGTGAACATGTGTGGGTATGACAAATCTGCATCAAAGTTTAAAAATGAAAATAAGGACTGTGGCGCGATATGCCTCAGAAGCAACTAACAACAAAATTATTTAGGCTTATGTTTTTAATACATAGATATAGTTCTTCGTGATATTTTATTACCATATCATATTTTAGGGGTAGTTGTCATGAAGAAATAAAGAGAAATATAATCACAATAAGTGTAAATTTACAATGCATATCAAAGCAATATCCTTTAAGCTTACAGTTTCCCCAAGTCTACAATTAAAAGCTTGTATCTCCTCCACCATGTGTCGAACATCTGATAAAAATAACCTGTTCTGGGACTCTTCCAAGCTCGGTCTACTTTGACTGTGCCTAATAAGAAAAGAAAACGTAACTATCAGCTCATTACCAAGATAGACATTTTTTTTAAAAAGAACAATCTCAATATTTTCAAGAGTCAATGTGCAATTTAGGACAACGCAAGAGAGCACAATTTCACACGCAAGCATTTAAAGTATATAAATGACAAGAAAAGAATCATTATATATATATATGAATCATAGAATAATACACTTAAAGTGTACGCTTGTTCGTTCTTTTTTGGGAGATTTATATGTTATATATAGTTAGGAACCACAATAAAAAGAGACATTACTTTTTTTAGTTATATAAAAAGAGACATTACTTTTTTCAGTTTTGCCTAGAAATTCATAATCTAATAAAATGTGTTATGAGTTGAGTTCAATAAAAAAAAGGGAAGATTAACATCTCTAGAAGATGAATAACTGGATATATAGAACATATCTCAAGCGTTTTGCAACTTTTGCTCATTTATTATGTGGTGTACAAACTATGAAGGGTAGGGGAATAAAAGGACCATGCTTGCTTGCACGGATCAGCAACGGATCATTCATTTATGGTGACTCTTTCTCCTTTTTTGTTTCCCATATTCAGATAAAAACTAACATAACTTTATAAAATACATGAAGGTATGGCCACATCTCCACCACCATTAGAGGAAAGCCTTCTCCATATTTTTGTAATTGCCACAATATTTTGATTTATCCACTCCCATACCACACCACCATAAAGACCTTATCATACCAATGACCTAAGACCAATTTAATCCAAGTTTACTATATACATAATTATTATGCCTTCGAATACTGTAGAGATACAAATCAACTTTATTACAGTTCGATTGAAAAATTGAGAGGCAAAAGGATGAAGCAAGGAACTGATCTGTAGACCACTTCAAAACAATCTAGGGGAGAAATCATTGGCCTAGAATAGGAACAAAAAAAAAGATTTTAATATCTATAGAAAACCATCCAAATTCCAAAGGGTCAGGTATTGAACAAAAAAAGATAAATCACTAGTAGGAAAGATACATAAGAGGCAATGGAGCATTATTCGTCAAGCGGCACAAAATAAATGTTTCCAAAGTGCAAGAGAGCAGAAACAAAGAAACGTACCTGCATATACATTACTTTAAATACCAGAAGAAAGGTTGAGGAGAAAAGAAAGCGTATTCTAGGTCAATGACCACAAAAAACTGCTATTTGCCACATACAGAACAAGATTCCGACTGGAGAACCTATGATGACAATTTTCATATGCAGGTGTCGACGAGGTGATCATATACAAGCTTAACTCAGGCCCTATGATGATAATTTTCATAACTAGTCGCCAATGGCCAAAACGTTTGGATGACAAAGTTTTCTTAGCCATTAGCTCTGTTTTATATTCACAAATCAAGGGCATGATAAACCACAAGGGTAGGTATACTGGAATTCTACATTGACCTATCCTTAAAAGCATAACAAGAACACAAGAAGCAAATCAGTAGGGCACCAACTTCTCTTATATATATTCTAGAGTGTATATGATATTAACTTTTGAAACCAAAGAAGCAACCAGTCCAAAACTGGGAGCTTCCTTTGAATTCAAGCCCCAACAAAAATGTTTCAATTTGCAACCAACAAGCTACAACAAAACACAATTGATCATGTAAATTCTGGCAGAGCTCGCCAACAAGAAAAAATAATAATAAACGTACGACAAGCTCTAAAGAATCAACATCTACATAAACTACAAACGAAGTACACAATACATCATACAATATTTTCAAAAAACAACATGGGACAAAGAACTCTCTCAATATCACAATCCCAATGCTATATATCATGAAAGAACTTTCCATCATTTGATTGGAAGTAAGAGCACGGATGACTACTTCAATAAATAATGTGTAAACTTCTCAATCTAAAGAAACATTTACCTCTAAGGTCGTGTCAGTCGAGATTATCTCTTTCTGGGTAGTGGCCTTAGGGTGATCAAGGCAGTCAAGCCTTATTCTAAGGTGCAAAGGTCTCATGAAGATGAAATCTTGTAAATCTCCACCAGTTTCTAAAATCATCTACTAGAATAGTCAGATTATCTTCAAAGATTCCAAAGAAAATACAAAAAATTAAATATACATGCTTAAGGTCAAATATCAACCAAGACAACAAAGCCCTAATTTATAAAATTAAATTTCAATTTTGTTAAATAGATAAAAAGGAAAATTTGAAACCCTAGAGTTTGATGATTAAAAAGGAGAGAGATAAGTACCCAATCACTGGATGCTAGAGAGGGACGACCTTGAAGTCGACGAACAAGGGGCTGACGGACGAGGGAAAGTGAAGGAGAGGCGGCGAAAGTGAGGAACCGACAAGAGGAGGGAAACGACGGCGAGAAGGTCGGCGAGAAGGAGAGGCGGCGGAAGTGGGGAGCGGCGTTGCTCCGTCGAGGAGAGGAGGCGGCGGAAGTGGGAAACGAGAAAAAGCCCTAGGTCTCTTCGACGGGATTTTTATCGGGTGAAAGATGAGGGGTACGGTTATATGAAACAAAATTAAAATTGTTTGTTTTTAAAGTTTGGGCGCTAACATAAAAAGCCCAAAATAAAATCGTCCCCTTAACCCAAAATTAAACCGTCCCCTTAGCCTATTATAAAAATTTTGCCTGAGCCTAAAAAAAGCCCAACGCTTTAGTTTAAAGCGTTCTCTTAGATTTTTTCGTAACGGTTAGAACCGTCACAAAACCGTCCCCTTAGGAAGCAAA